TTAATTATAATTATTAAAATAAATATTGTATAATTAAAAAAATAAAAGTGTCCATAAACTTTTGGCAATCCACTGTACATATGCAAGAGGTAAAAGCAATTATGTATGCGAAATTTTCAGAATTTATTAAGTGTAATATACTTATAATGTAAGAATATTACGTTGCCGAGAGGCAGTCATATAGTGCTATACTATAGAAAAATAAATCGTATTTTAAACCTATCGAGATGAGCATTTGTAACCAGCTGATTCACCATTGCCGATTCAGATCCTCGTCGGGCACACGTCAAATCAATAAATATTAAATATTAGTATTACTTGTTCTACATGGGTTAAATTAATTACTTACCGATGTTACCTCGCTAACCTTTTCAGGCATCTCGATTATCACATCATGTCAATTGATATTCCTACGAGAATTATCAAGTTAGACTTCTTTCGTAATGAAAATTGAAAGAGTAATAAATATATACAAGTTGCATAAAAAATAATTTATTTTAAACGCAAAATGAATGATAGCTATTCTTTATTACAATAAATTGATGTCTTTTGGATGTAAGGCTTCTTAACTGATAAAACACGTTCCCAGCACGACTGAATTACTACAACAGCTGTTCATCTCCCCCTTCCCCCCTTCTCCTTCGTATTCCTCTTACTGTAGAAGTGATTCACGCATTCTGACTAATGCTGTCAACACTGCTCGTCTTTGATCCGGTTCAGCGAGATCGAAACCAGTCTTCAAGCCATTCTTGGTCGGCCATCTATCAACCTTAACTTTCTGTTCTTCCGGCAGACCTTTGTCAAGTTCCTTCCAATAATTTGCAGGAATCACAGCTTTATAAAACGTAACATACGAAGAGATGACGCGAACGGCCCATAATGTCTGATCTGTGTGTTCCACCTCGCCAAGGGAACGAATATTCTGATTACCACAAGCGAGAAGTTCTACAGCAATCTGTGTTTCTCCAAATTCAGTGCCTGACCCGGCATTTTTCAGGTGTCTATCCTGTTAAAAAAATTGTTTAAGTCAATGAAAACTATAGCCTGCCAATGGGTTAATAATATACAGACTTCTACCACAAGAATATGCATGTTTCGTTTCCCTATTACAAATTCGGGTTCTGATGACACGTAAGCATCATCTCGAATGTATAGCTTGCATAGCGGATGATTTCTGGATTTTGAGAATGAAACTTTAGAATCCATTGTATTTATCACAAATAGAAGTTAATCACCTGATCCTTAATGGCCAGCGATTCAGCATAGCGATACGAAGCAAATCATCCACAAGTGTATCAGTAAATGTTTCGTTGGTGCCTATAACTTGAAAACCATTCATTACAACGTCATACAATTTCGCAAAGAATGTTTGAACGTCTGGATCTGTAAGCCCTTCAATATTTTCAACATCGAAATCTAGATTTCCAAGTATATGTCTATTAATATCAGGGCAAACATACTTATCTGGAAAGTTGGTGACTGGAACAATATTTAAATTATAAGTATTATTCGTTTAGAAAATCGTTGATACAAAGTAGTACGCACCTTCAGCTGGAGGAATGACAACGTCCTCGTTTGAAGCCGGTGCGAAACCCACTCTCAGTAAATCAATATCTCCTGCTTTAAACTTAGATGCGGAGGGAGGGAGGTTGTAGATAGATGAGGATATTCTAGTCTCGGCTTTTTTGTTTCTTTGTTGCGAAGTTAGGGCAAAGAGTCTTGGTCGGAGAATACGTACGGCAGGGCGAGAAAACCTCGCAACAAGACTAAGCAAAGGCATTTTATAAACAAAAAATTGATGATGACTTTATTAAAACGAGAAAAATACGCCTGCGTTGTAAAAAAAGGCGTTAAGAAAAAAAGAGAGTTGATAATCGGTAGGGGCTATACAGTACTGTATACAGTATACAACAAATCACCCGATTATAATTTGTGTACCCGTGCATTTTATTTATTTCATTTTCCACCGAGTCTCGACATAAAAAAGCTTGGACCTGGCACGACTTCATAGGAAGGGAAACTGGTGCGCCAGTGGAAGTCAGCTCCAAAGCTTTGCCCAAAGGCGATGACTACCCCCCATTCTCTCGTCCTGCTAGGTTTAGCGCTATCACTATTCTCCTCCTCTTCTACTTCTGTATCTAATTCCCTCTTGTTATCTACCCATTATCTAATACATTTTATAGTTTCTTCCGCCGGATTTCTGGTAAGACGCTTGTGGAATTTCCTTATAGTGGTGTCTCTAAGACGTTCTCCCAGCTCCCTTACTTCTTCTAAAATTTTGGAATACATTGATGACTCGATTCGTTTCTCTAATCGACGTTTTTCTTTGAATTGTTGCAATAGTAATTCAACTTAGTACGAGAGGAAAGGCGATCGAAATCTTGCCAGAGTGTTTGAATATCGCCGGTGTAATCTTGAGGTGTTTTATTAGACCCGGACCGTCGAGAGCTGGAATTACTGTCGCGAACTTCGTAGCCCATTAGGCTTATGTTTCGGTCGAGATTGCTGTTTTTTTGTATTAGCGCTTGAGTTTTGCCGTGATCTTTTGATAGCAGACAATTCAGCAGTTATACGGTTTTCCACTCTTCGAGTATTTAGGTATCATACTAGCGATTGGACTAGCATGAGTTCATTTTTGCGACTTTTACGAGATTTGTGAGTAATTTCGCGCTTATTGGCAAAAGGATGAAGATAAAGTTAAGGCTCGCTTCGTAGCACCTTTTTATAGACTTCAGTTTCAGAATACAGAATATGACATTTAACATTAGCGAACGCGAAATTTGTCGATCACAATAACTAGCGAATGAATCCAATTGTGATTCGGTATACCTGTGCTGAAATCCTAAGTAACTAATTTGTCGCTTTATTATAAATTCGAACGCAAAACAAAATTCATGTTGGGCAAGTTATTAAGGGTAATGAACTTTCTATCTCAGCCAATACTGTAAAAGACATCATATGTTTTAGCAGGGTTTTGGAAATTTACCCAAACAGTTGTTCAACTAGATGCAAGAGGGCGTTCTCGGCTTGCAAGCTTGGAATGTATTCATATGCATTAGATGACTTGAAACATGCAATCTCGTTAAAGTCCAATAAAGTTCGTGCATACACTATCAGAGTTATATTAATATGGATAGACACCAAAGTGAAGATGCACTAAAAGATCTACAGTAGATGAGATTCTTAGGATTGAGCCGTTTAATAAAAAGGTGGATTTATGGAGAGCAATAATATATGCAAATGAACGAGAGATTAAAAAAGTCAAACTTGAGATCAAAAAAACAACTTATAAAAAAGGTTGAATACCACAGCAAATTTGGTTTCAATATATAATGCCTTGTTTAAAAATTCTGCAAAGAGCATTGGTAGATTTAATTATTTTTTAATATCACGACTCTGTTACATGGATTCAGCAACAATAATAGGATGTATTTCTTTAAGAGAAAACGACTACCAGGCAGCAATAGTTCATCTAAAAAATCCACTCGAAAAGAATCCAAAAAATTGTGGCACTATTTTCATACCATCGATTGAATTTATTTAACGAGTCGCTTACCGATCTAAACAAACTCCTGAAAATTGAACCAAATAACGCAGATTCTTAAGTATTCGAGGAACTGCTTACCAAAAAATGAATAAATATGAAGAATCGCTTGAAGATCTAAATAAATCCCTGGAGATTAAAACTAATAATGTGTATGCCTTAAGAATTCATGGGATTACTTACCAAAGATGAATAAGTGAAAAGAATTACTTGCTGATCTAAATAATTCACTGGAGATATTTTGCATTCGACATTGGCTGCGATATTACAATAGGTATCTTTTTATTATAACCATAAATTATGGCTGCTTTTTGTTCAGAAGTTAATTCTTTATTAGCAGGAATTAGTGGTTATGTGAAAATTGAAGTGAAATTTTTAGGTAAATGAAAAAAAAATTATATATATATATGATACATTTTTATAAATTGAATATGTTACACTTATATATTGAGTATATTTTTATCAAAAAAGTTTAATTAGTTTTTAAATTAAAAATTTTTTTAAAAAAAAATAAAGTTGTCTATAAACTTTTGTCTACCCTTTGTATATATAAAAATTTTAATTTATATTATAAAAATTATAATTTTTTATATAAAACTCTTTTCATTAATCCTTTTGCCAATTCAAAAAACAGATATTCTCAAAAGATTTTATGTGTTTATAATAATAAAGTCTATATATTTTCCTTAACAACACTGGTTTCTTGATCAACAGAGCAAGCAGCAGCTACCACTTGTTTTATTTTTCTTTTTTAAAACACTTTTCTTGTTCATTTTTGTAACTAAATACAAGAAACCTACTTAAAAGAACACCTCTCTAGAAAAAAAACTGACAAGAAAAAATAATCTTCAAAAATTCCCAAAAGATTCAATATTACAGAAAAACAAGAATAAAGAAGTCTTCAGTCTTTCCATCATCTCTTTGGCTTTCTACTTTTTTTTTTCAAACATGCTTTCTTTTTTCTGATTTTTCTGAAGAATTTTACCTACCTTAGTTTGACCTTGAATTTTGGTTACACCAGATTTTCTGAAAATTAATTGGTTCAGGTCATGGATTGGTTGATCATGTCAGCTACAGAAAAAATAAACAAGATATACCTCTTATGTGTTTCTAGTTGTGCAACATCAAATTGATAATGTGATTGATTTCTAAAAGAGTTGAATGGTTTTTAGTTAAAGAAATAGTATAAGAATGTTGAATAAAGCAGAAATTATAAGTAGAAGAGAAATAACTTCTTATTTTTGTTTCTCTTTTCTTTTTTTCTTTTTCTATTCTTTTTTGAGAATAGGAAGTAGCAACAAGATTCAGGATTCAGGTTCTATTCCAATCTGGCAACAAGTTAAAGTATTGATATTTATCTTGAAAATGATTAAAGAAAGGTGTCTTTAAACTATTCACTAGTTGAGCAAAGCAATAACTCCAGAAAACATGATTTGTAAAAAAAAACAATAATAGAAAACTAACATCCTTTCTGGTTGGAAATCTTTGAGCATAAAGTTTCAAGAAATACTCTTCTAAAAATACTCTTAAACATTCTTGGACATTAATCACTACAATAGAAATTAAACAGTCTGGCTAACCATAGATAGTGAAAAGTGAGAAATCATAAGGAACTTAGGTTTGGGCTTTAAGTTTACTGAAATAATCTTTTCAATGATAGTTAAAATAAATGATAGCTTTTATTTCTTTTTTTATATATTATTTCAATTGTGTATACTTGTACTGTTTTTCTTTTCCTATTTTTTTTTCCTTATCCTTATATAGTTTTTGTATAAGAAAAATAATATAATTTGAATTTATAGTTGTAACTGTAGAAGTGATCTGCAAGCATTGATCCTAGTAGCATAATTTGATCTTAATTCTAACTATTAGGCTAGCAATATATCACTTCTATAAATTGCATCTAAAGACTTTGACTTTTGATAAGTAAGTTAGGCTTCAAGTAAATTTATACTTTACATATACTTATATATATATATATTTTAGTACACTAGCATTAATTGTCTGGCTGAATATTTATTCCTTATAATAATGTTTATATATATCTTTATACATTTCTATCTAGGACTATGCTATAATATATCAGTTGTCAGTTATACCCAATACTTATTGAGATTGCTCCAAATAACAATGTTTACTGCAGCTTGTTTCTAACTATATTAAGTATAAAGGCTAATCTATTGGATAAAAGTAATCCTTTGTTAGACCAGTAGCATGCATTTTTACTAGTAATTGAATAGCTTTATTTCTAACTGAGGAGGAATTAAGAGAAAGTTGAAAAGGGGCACTAGGGGTAATATCTATGGCAAATAAAGCTACATAATCACTGCTTGCTCTATTGGAGATAAATCTCTTTACCACTACCTGCAACTGGACTAATCATTTAATTTCTTACCTGTCCAATGATACCCAAGAACGTATAAGATACTTATAACTGGTGTTTACTGCCTGAACACTGACTTACATATTGCAGGGAACAGGACTTATAGCCAGAAGCCTTCTTGGAATAAGTATCACCAGACCGGTTTATTACTGGATTGGAATAATACTAGAGCAGGGGTTTGCGTGAAAGATGCTGGATATTAGTGAAAAGATCACCAAACCTACTTATCGAAAGCGGACATCTTATACACCTTGCAACTTCTGACAATCATCATAACACCAACGAACAATTGTCGCACCACAACATCTTTTCTGAAAATCACAATCTCAACACCCACTGGATCAGCGTATGAAATGGTTTTTCATGAGAAACAACACTTTTAACAGGTTATGGCACCAGATACCATATTAATTCTATTCAACCACCCTCACATGGGATTGAACTGGTATTGTGAACGTGATTTTTGATGAGTCTGTCGCTTTTTGTACCAGCACTCGCGTAACGTTCAGGTGGGTAGATTTCTTTAGTCGAGGCGTGTGATTTGACTTGGCCGGGTTTTCTTTTAACTAATGTTTCTTTTGTTCCTCGCCCTTGTACTTTTACTGATAATCTTTTGCCACCGTTTCTTCGTGGTCCTTCGGATTATCCTCTTTCCAAGTTAGCAGTACTAAACGAGGTAAGTTTATTAATTGGAAATTTCTCTCTTTGGCGTTGTTGATCGCACTACTAATTTAACAATTTTTAATTAGTTGTCTCACTACAGAGTGCGATACTTTTAGGTGTTCAGTTTTTTTCTTGTTTTATTTTTCAGTTCGTTTTTTCTCTCCCTTCTTTTTACATGAGTACATTGTTCTTTTATAGCCTAACGCTATGCTAGAATAGACTATCGCTGACGTCACAGATTTAGACTTTTTAAGCTTACTAATAAACTATCATTTAAACTACTCCATTTTCAACATCACATATCTGGGTTTTAGACACGCGACGCGCGAATCGCGTTATGCGTCCATTCCTCATTATACCTTTCCCATTCACAATATGAAGAAAGTAACAACATCTCTCATATAACCAGTTGATTGGCAAGTTTAATGATAGCTTGCCTATAGTAAATTATTTAAATTGCAAAGGAAAAGAAATATCAAAATTAATATATTGTTAAAGATAGTATCGAGCAGTTATAAATACCTATTCAGATTTATATGTAAAAAGACTATAAGAAGTAAAAAAGAAATAAAATATTAAACAAAGAAATAGATACAAAAAAACTAATTGCAAAGCTAAAGATATTTCAAATAAACATGCTACACTGATAGTTTTATTTAACTGAGGTACAATATATGTATACCTATCACAAATAGTCAG